CGATATCGTCCACTATACATATATCATCATCCCCTCATATTGTTCCTTTCATTCCCACCTCCCATGTTTCCCCTACTTTAAAACCAACCACCCGTGCACCTGAGCTAACTGCGAAAAATACCACTAAGTCAACAAAAGTCAAGGCCACTCCAAGAAAATCTATCAAGAAAGTGCCTGATGGTGCTACGTAGGGTGACACTGTAGCCAAGGAATCTGTGGTTCATGGGGAGTCAGTACCAGTCACTACTGATCAGGTACAACATCCTCATTCTAAATTAGATGTTTTCGTGTCTGCTATAGATGTTGCACCCCTAAAAAATGTCCCACCCATATGTGAGAAGCCACAAATGGAGAAATTCACTGTAGAAAAGGGTGTAGGTGATCTAGGGAAAGAGGTAGATACTACTGTTGTGGAGCCTGTGGTTGAGGGGGAAGGAAGTAAAGAACCTTTGCAAAAGGAGGCTTCTGATGACCTTTCTTTTAGTTGGAATGAGGATGAGGAAGATGATGGAGGTTTAAAAAAAGAAGAAGTTGTGAACAATCGTGAAGAGCATGATGCTCAAAACATATTCAATGAAGAAGGAAAGAGTGAGAATGAGGGAGCATCTGGAGATGAGAAGGAAAGTGATACAGACGATAAGACAGGTGAACATGTTAATGATTCTACAAAAGAAGAAAATTATAGTCAAGAAGAGAACGACTCTGAAAGTAATGGTGAGGATTAAGAAAAGGTAAGTGAGAGTGAAGGAGGTGATGAAAAGAGTGAGGAAGAAGATGGTAATGTAAGTGAGGAATCTTAAGGTTCCATGACCATTGAGAATACTGTTATAGCCCTTTCAGAAGAAACTGGTGAAGAGACAAGGGCTCAAGAACCTGGGTCTCTATTACTCCTTTCACTAGAGATGAAGAAGTTAGCAGTGATGAAGATGATGTGCCACTATATAAGGTAGGGAAGAAACCTAGGAAGACACTTGTGAAAGCTACAAAATCAACAGTCTCAACAAGGAAAGGAGTGGCTCCTCCTACCAGAACTCCTCTTACAAGGAGTGAAACAAAGGTTGCTAATGCATGAATCATTAAGGAGTCTAGAAGTGCAAAGAAACCAAAGAAGAAGGTCTCTATTGTGGAACCTGTTGTTGAGGTGGATGGAGAAGATGAGTCTGACTTTGCCTTGCCAGCTAAGTCTTTTACACCAAAGAGAAAGGGTGCCAAAGTTAGAAAACCTGCTACCTCTTCTGAAAGAGCCAGTAAGGGTAAGACAATAAAGAATGTGCCAGCTGAAAATGATCGACTCACAGAGTTCAGGAACAAAAAAGTGCTAAATGGGAAAATTCTTGCGAATACTGATGAGAAGGGGATGGCTTAACTGGTTTACTTGAGCTACAACGGTGGAAGTACATGTTTGTCAAAGCTCCCCCCCCCAGTATGTGTTCCTGCGGTAGTGAAGTTCTATGCAAATTTCAATTTTAATGGAAAGGTAGTCAAGAGTAACGTAGGGGGTTTTGAAATGTAGTTTGATGCTGAGGAACTGGGGATGCTTCTGAATATCTCTTCCTTGGGATTTGACAATTTCTTAAAGAAAAAGTGGCCAGCCATAGACAATGATGTTGACACTGGCATTGTGGTCACAAGGAAGTTCTCCCAAAAGTTTGAACTAGATGCTCCCCAGAAAGTGTACAAGACTAATGTGAATCCCTTCCACAGATTATTGTTTCATTCGACAATTCCTGTATTCTTCAGAGGTCTGAGAGAAGGCATGAAGCTACTCTACTGGACATGGCTGTGATGGAGCTGCTCGACACGGGTAGACCTATCAATCTTCCTAGCCTAATGATTCAACACATGGCAAAAGCTGCAGACACTTCCAAACTCAAGCATGTTATGCCTTATGGTTTCATGTTGACTGTGTTGTTTGACAAGCTTAACATCGCCTTACCTGAGCTTAAGTTTGGAAACTACAATAACGTTTTAGATGTTGTTATCCTCAAGCAGTGTGGGTATGAAGAGATCAAGGCTAGAGGACCCACTGCTATTCTACCTGGGAGCAGTAGAGCTGCAGATTTCAGCAAGAGATTAGAGTTGGCTATTGAAGAGAATGCCAGGCTTCGGTGAAGACAATAATGAGCTGAGAAAGGAAACAAAGCAACTCAAACAAGAGATCAGAAGAGATAGAGAGGCTCATGCCCAATAGATTGTCACCCTTGTGAAAGCTTTGGCCCCCTCTGCTTCTCATCCATGAACCTGTTCCTTCCCAATATCCTCTGCTTTACTGCTTTGTACTATATTGGATTATTAGCCTAGTATATTTTCCTTGATATTTATTAAGTTTGTATTGTAGCCTGTTTGGTCTTGAATCTTACATTATCTGTTCTTAATGTCTAACATTTTTTGTATTTTCGGTGATGCAAAAAAGGGTAAGATAATGTTGGAAGTTTGTGGGTTGTGAACATACATGTCTGTCAATAGTACTTGTCACTTGTTCTGATTATTTGGTTCTTTGACGTGATTACCTTGGTTCTGTTGTGTACAAAGTATGTCATCATCAAAAAGGAAGAATTTTTTTAGTATTGAAGTTTTGATGATTAACAAAGTATGACTAAACGTTCAAAGGACCAGGTCCTTAACGTAGCTACTTAATTGTTCGGAAGAATCAGCATCTCAAGAAAAAGGATCAGCTCCTCATGTTGATAGTTATACGTCTGTAAAAGACAGTAACTTTATCTCAAAATTACCCAGGTCCGAGTTTGGTGGAAGAAAGTTGCTATAAGTAATAAGGGTCGTTGTGCAAGAAGATACGGATAATTCAGTCAGAGACAAAAGTCTCAAAGCTTGTTGAATCCTTGGAACAGTAGGAGTCCTATCAAAGAGGAAAGCTGACTATGAATAGGACTCCTAGAAGATCTCAAGTTGAAGCGTTTAAATGTGATCAACTTTGGACTTTTGATACATCCTTTCACACATCAAATAAAGAGTCGTAAGTCGTTTACTCTAGTCAAGTACTTGCATTTTATTCTTCCTGAGTCAGTTTAGTAAATGTATTTTATGAAATTGAGTTGTAATTAAGTGTCATAAATAATTAGTGAGTTGGAGTGAGTATCTTACTTTACAAGTTAGAATAACTTGTGAATAAGATAGGAGCAGTAGGAGTACTGGAGAGTATTTAATTACACTATTGTAATTGATACATTTTGGCTCAATGTTCTAGTGGAGTTGGAGTAGAAAATCCTATGTGATAGGTCGTGGTTTTTGCACCTTTTGAACCGGGTGATTTTCCACGTAAAAATCGCTATGTTCATTTTATTGTTTATTTATTTTAAGCTTAAGGAACACGATAAAAAATCAAGTTCTTTAATAATTCATACGGGCACTCAAACTTATAGAACGTATCTCTATTTAATATTGATGAGTATTCTAAAATAATTAATAATGAATTCGAAGCACCTTTCTTCTCCATTGCAACTTCTATCAGAAAAATAAAATAAATTAAACAAGTAAAAGCTACCAGATGTAGAATCTTCGAAGAGAAGGTTGAAATATTCAAATTCCGAGGAATATGCAAAGAGCATGCACCTAAGAATTTCTTGAACCGCTAGACATGATTTGGAAGCTAAAAGTGGACATATGCTATAAGAAACAGGATCTCCTGATATGCCAACTCTGCAAAGAGGAAACAATGCTACTATAAGTAACTTATCATCAAAGACGGCAAATGCACATGATAACCTACGTGTAAATGGGGTCTTAAGCAACTTTCCGACTATGTCTATTTTGTTTGGTTGCTAAAAAGCAATCTCATTTGTTGCCCTCTACTTGATATCTGCTAGAATGTTACAGAGTTGATAGAAAATGCTTTGTTATAACTTTGCTCCAATGGTAAAATTTTGATCCCACATGTAGGGTTTGGGGAGGATAGAGTGTATGTAGACATTGCCCTTCTTTACGTGAGACAGAAAAATTATCTTTGATAGACCTTTTGGCTCAAATCATTATCAAAACATGTTTAGAAAATACCAGAGTAAAGAAGGCGGGAACAGCCCGGTCCACTAAGTTCCCGTTATGTGCGGAATTCGGAAAAAAACCTGACCATTTGCATCTTTTTTATTTTTGTTTTTTTCCTTTCGTTACTGTTTAGGGAGGGGACGGGGGAGACTAGTGTTGGATTTCATGTGCATTATGTTAGCTGATGGCTAATATACATTTATGAACAATTAGTGAATGCATTTTCTATAGCTTTTATTTATTTATTTATATTTTCTTACCTAGTAATAGAATCACTTCAGCATTTTACTAAAATTTTCAAAAGGTGTTCTCTTTTTCGGCGAATGATGAAAGTGGATCGTTAGAATGATTCTTATTTTTGGATTCCCTATTTTTTTTTTTTTTCTTTTGTGATTGTTTTAGAGGTGGGTTTCATGTGCATCATGTTAGGTGATAACAAATGGATGACAAAGTTTTGTACTGGCCATTCTTTTATATTAAAAAAGAACATTGAATATAAATTCATAAAGACGTTTACTAATTTGTTTCATATTTCAACATTGAAAGTCTAAAGCATGCAACCTTTAAGAAAAGGATGGCAGACACTATGCTGACGGTTTATGCCAGGGAATAAAGGTTGGCCTAGCTAGAAGATTATATGTATTTAAAAAATTAAAAAGAAAACAACGGTATCCTTTGCCCTTTTGTCGCATTATATTTAATTTAAACACTCGTAGATCAAGAAAGAAATGCATGAGATATGGTGGATGGAATGAGATTACTTTACTATTAATCAAACAATTTTGGATTGGAATAGAGAAATTAATTCTTGGTTGGCAACATTTTCCCTATTAAATAGCCATATACGATGTGAATTTGAATTGGTAATGTTACTGTAAAATAAAATAAAAATATGTAGTAATAGTTGTGGAGTCCACGTCCAAAGACGTAACCTTTATAATCTGAACAATGACACTATTATAGATATAGTATTACATTACAATGTTAAAAAAAAACGGGGGGTTTGTATAAGCCCTTTCCATTTCAAGTAAATATATCCTCTGCACAATAAGATCATAACAAAATGAATTTTGTCAATTCCCTAGCAAAGAATGATCAGCTACTTTATTCTTTCGAATCATCGATCACGATTATACAACAAATGACAGCGACTATATATATACTTTTTCTATGAAGCGAGAAACTAGATCATTTTTCAATTTTCTATTTTACATGAAAGCTCTTTGTGTCTAATTTTCGGTATTTGTCGCTGTGAGGTCCATTCTTGTCGCATGCACATGCATCCGGGGTGGCTAATAGGTCATTGCCTCAGTTGAAGTGTTTAAATGATGCCAATATATTTACGGCCAAGTACTCCATTCTAGCCTTAATGTTGTCTTCATCTCATTAATTAGCGCTTGCAAAGCCAGCAAAAATACCCTAAAATCATCCAATTGGCCAAGCTTTGATATCTCACTTGTTTCACCTGTTAGAAAATAATATATGCAATAAGAATACCACATTAAATAAAAAAACAAACCTTATAAGAATCATATAATATATATGATCAAAGCGCATCCCGGTGCACTAAGCTTCCGCTATGCTCAGGGTCCGAGGAAAGGCCGGACCACAAGGGTCTATTGTACATAACCTTATCCTGCATTTCTACAAGAGACTGTTTCCACGGCTCGAACCCATGGCCATGACCTCCTGATCACATGGCAACAACTTTACCGGTGTCTAATATATATAATCAATTCCAATTAATTAAAATCTATGGTTTTACCATAGGGGGAGCAGAGGAAGCAAGGAAACTGGAAGCTGATGCTGGCTCTGAATTAGTTGAAGAAGTTGTTGTAGAAGTAGTTGATAATAACCCAACATTATAAGCCATAGTTCCATCAGGTTGAAACAAACCATAATTTCTCTCAGAAGTTGGTCCTGGCTTTTGGTCTTCATTGAATAGAGCAAACACATAAATATCCAATCTAACATTAGGTCTCAAAGGTGTCCCTTCATTAAGCAATTGCCTTCTCAAAATATTCCTATTATAAATAGCTGCATTTTGAAAGGTTGCACCAATTTCATTAGAGTCACCTTTAGATGGCCAACCTGTCTCAGAAATCTTAACTTCTAAACCATTAAATCCCATTCTTGCTATAGCAAATATAGCTGCATCCACTTGTGCATACAACATGTTGTCATAATGTAGTCTCGTGTAAGGATCAATCATTCCTTGATTGGAATTGAATAGCACATAGTCTAAGGAGATTTTGTTGGGATTGTCTTTGTATGCAAAATAAGGATATGCATTGATCCAAAAAGGTGCTCTTGTTGTAACCAAGAATTGCAAGAATTGTTGCATAATACCATTAAGATCAGTCCTAAAAGTACCAGCTGATGGTGGATAAGAGTTTGCTAAAACTGCTAGTGAATTAGGAGAAGAGACTTGAATATATTGGCTAAGTCCTGTTTTAATAAGTGCTGAATGAATGTTAACCATTGCTGGGACAAGATATGTCATTAAAGATGTATCTTCATCTGTGAAAATCTCGTTCCCTACCGCGATTCCTGTGATGTTTGTGGCTGGAAAATATGGCCTAATATGAGTAGTAACCCACTGAAGGGCTTGTTGCTGATCGCCTAATGTGGCTAGCATTTGATTTTCCACTGTCACAATTAGCTCTATGTTGGAGTTGGCAAATGCAGTCAACACTTGAGGATTTGTATCATAAATTCTTGCCTTTGTTATCTTGAGAGCATGCAAAAGTTGAAGAACTTTTTCTGGTGGTGGTAAGTTGTTTGCAACTTGACCATAATTAATCCCAAGTGAATCTACTTCTCTAATAATGTTCAAACCTGTTACAATATTTCAATCTTAGTAATTAATCAAAATGGTATAACAAGAAATAGCTAATTTAAACTAGAAAAGGAAAGAATAACATACCTGATAAAAGGAGAAAGAATGTTACAAGAATTCGCAAGAATGAAGTTCTTCTCAAAGGGCCATCCATGATACAAGTAAACAAAAGAAAATAAATAAAGATGGAGTAGTTATGTTTCTTAGTAGAGAAGAGAGTAGAGAATTAAGGGGAGGGAAGAAAGATATGTGAAGGGAGGTATATATAGGCATCTATATAGGTTTGACAATTCTTTTCTTTACTTGCTTGAATTTATGTTTTTTTTAGTAATATTTTTTTGGGGGAGCAAAAATAAGTTGCCTTTGGTTTCTTATTAATTGTGGACAGGTTTTTGAATGACTTTGTCTCGTCATCTTAATTTTCTTGCCTCATAGGTTCTTTAAATTTGGTTTACCCCTATAATGTCTTTAATTTGTTGTCTTTTCAAAGAGGTCACCCTTTAGTCCACTTGACAAGTATACCCTCCTCACACTTGCTTCATTCAAAAGAAAACAGCTACTACTGTATAAGTTAGATTATTTTATTTGGCACCAAGTGAGAGGCAATCCCAAATATTTGGACTATTTTAGATGTTGTTCTGACTACTAAGGGAAAAGGTGTTTGTCTAATCTCAAAGAGTTGGATCTATGACATGGCTGTCTATTTCCATGGGAAATGAGTTTTAAATACATATTATTTAGTAACTTGGTAAAAATGATGATCAAACTGCTATCACAAATTAAAATATACTAATAGTATAAAAAAAATTTATACTTTCAATGTATAAAATTTAAATCATTTTACTATTCTAATGATTCACTTACGCCGACGTCTCATTTTTTCCTTTTATTTTTTTCACCTGACGATTCAAGATTTACCAGAGGTTCACTTTCTTCCACCTTTTTGAAGCCAACGTGGGGTGAAGAGGGATTGAGGCCTAATCTCCTTTTGAGAGTTAAAACTGCGAAGCAATAGAGAAAATACCTTTTTCTCTCGCTTTTTGATCAATTTTAAATTTAATCATGTTATTTGGGTTCTTGTCCGTGAAGATGTTTTAAATGTATATAATATAGCCACAGTTTAAAAAAAAACTAAAAATCCCAAATAATACAGATCAATTTCATCTTTCTATATAGCAGTTGCTTATTCATTACCGCCAAAATTAGAGCCTATTTGGCCAAGCTTCTAGGAAGCCAAAAGTATTTTTGAAAAATTTGAGATATTTGGTTAAAATGATAAAGTGTTTTTGACCAAAAGACTTTTTTTTGCTTAGGAAAGAACTACAAATTCTAGCTTCTTCCAAGAAGCAAAAACAGAAAATTAATTTGTTCAAGACAAAAATATCAATATAAGAAATTTATATTTTTTAAACTATCCATCATTAATTTAACCTTTTCCTTTTCTTTTTGTTCTACCATACCTTTCTTCTCGTTTTTTGTTTTCATCATATTTTTATTTTCTTTCTTTTATTCCTCCTTTGAATATTCTCCATATCATAAATAGGTCTCTTTTATCCGGTGAGTAATAAGAGTAGACTTTTAATTTATATTGAATGATGTGTTATGATATATACAAATCATTTTGTAAACAATAAGTAAATGTCAGGTGCCCAATATTATTGCTTTAGAATAAATATATTTTATATTAATTAAAATTTTAATTTATATTTTTACTTTATATTGTATATTTTAATTGAATTTATTTCAAATAAATATTTAAATTTATTTCTCGCTTTTAGATAATACTAATTGCCAATTGAATCTTTACTGGTATTTGTCGTAATTTGATACTCAAAAGTACTTTTTGGAAAGATTGGTCAAACACAATTTGCTTGCAAGAAGCACTACTCAAATGAATTGGCCAAACACAAATTGCTACTTTACAAAAGTATTTTTGACAGATTGACCAAACGAGCTCTTTGTTGCGTTTGACCAAACTTTCGAAATTGCTTGGAGAAATATTTTTGACAAAGAGTATGTGTAAACTGCTGGTTGTAAATTACACAGTTTTTCATGCATATTTTTGTGATATAGTCATTCCTTATTCATGTAGGGGATTGTTGGGTTTAAGCTTCTTAGAGCTTAAAATAGAGTGAATGAGAAATGGAGGAAAAATAATATTTTTTTTTGAATTTCCCTCTTTGACAAAGGGACATTGTCCCATATTGAAGGAGGAAAAGAGCTTTGATGGGTATATATGCAATTGCACTTCTTCTAACTCTTAAAGAGTTGAGAAAAAGCAAGCCTCGCGCCGTCATCGCCATCGCACGCTCGGCTCGGCTTCGGCTTTGGTCAAATGATTTGATTGATTAATTTTTAGACCAAATTTATTTGTTAATATTAATACAATATTATTCAATCCAAATTAGACCGTTTCTATAACAATATTTAATTTTTTAACATTTTAGTTTTCCCTTATAATTTTAATTTGGCAGTTTGCATAAATGGTTGTTTTATAAAACAGCCATTTTGAGTTGCAACCTTACATGAAGAGTTGCAACTCTTCGGTATTACCCAACATTTTGGCTATAGATACATGAACTCTCCCTCAAATTTTCCTTACGAAAATTTTGATTTCTCATTCTTCATTCTGCATTATTTTAAACAGAAAGAAACCAGTAAGTGTGATTTACTACTGATCTTTGAGTTCGTTGGTCACTAGGGTTTGAAGTATCGCTATACCAGTAAGGGTAATCCGTCATATCATGGAGAAAATAATCCTAAATCTCGGATACTATGAGGGGATTAAGTCCCTCTGTAACGACCCGACTGGTGTCGCGCCCCCTTTTTCCCCCTTTGCATCGAAAAATCGAGTTTATGATATTTTGGGTGTAGGAAAACTCATTCCTTTTGGGAACTGGGTTTTGCATTTGAAGAGTCGTCACCTAATGAGTTAAGGTGCATTATGACACCAATAAAGTTCATTTCTAAGTCTATTTGATAACCAGGGATATGGTAAGGGCTTGAAATTATCCTAAGGGGAAGGTGCTAGGCACCCCTCAGGATGCGCTAGTATGGTTTCCGGTCAGACAGTTTTGTGAATTTGTACAATTAGCAAATAGACAAGTATATGCTCAAGTCGTAGGGGATTTAGGTTTAAACACATAAGTGTTTGAAAGAACAATCATTAAAGGCGAATTTTGAAATGGAGTTACATTTTTTATAAATACTTAAAAATATAAAAGGAGAGAGGAGTCCTAGGTTTATTTATAATATGAATTACATCAATGCGATACCCGATATGACACTCCTTAGAAGAGGGGATACACGTGGTATTAGTGCACCGGTCATCATATCCATATCTACCCTTCCCACGCCGCTAAGGTATTAAAGCGCGGATTGGTCTCGACCTCTATTACATGCTATTACCCGTCCCATTCCTATCAGTCCCAGAGAAATTTAGGACTACTATTCCTATAAGAGGGAGGATTTAAGCTGACTCTTAGGTTTTTAAAAAGGTAAAAAGACTAAGGCGACATTCAAAACATGTAGGACTGCAAATTAGAGGAAACAGGTAAGCAACTGAAAGGCTCACCGATCGCGGCCTACTCCGCACTACTATTGAGTAGCGAGAGAGGGGCGGAGTACCTTTTACCCGATTTAGGGTCGGGATCGATTTCCACAGAGAGCTAGAATTTGGAATCGAGTATCTATCTAGTTTAGGATTGTGTATGTGTTCTAAATTACACTTCTAATCATTTTTGGGGTTTTCGTTTTACTTCTACTATTATCAACTACAAATGGTAAATGCAACTAGGTTAAGCTAAGAGTTAAACTAAAAAGGGTTGTTCAAATGGTTTAAAAGGCACTAGGGTAATGACTTTCATCTAGGTGGTTAATTGACGGGTAATTGAATCTAAGACACGATTGACATAATTGGGGAGTATGATATAGTTGTTGCACGATATTACCCACTCTAAACTTCTCGGTGGTTCGAGTGATTTTGCCCGAATTGACTTTCTCAAGACCAATTGGGTATGCAAATTTGCACAAGCAACTAGGGTTCAAGTCGGGTATTACTCTCTCGTAGTTTAACCCTTTAATTGGGGCTATCAATCTCTTGAGTACGCCCCAATTCCTTGTTGACCTAATTTCGGAGACATAGGCTCTCTTTCTCAACAAGAGCCCTAGTCAACTAAACACAAACTAGTATTTGCAACCACTAATTCAGCAATTAACGAAGAAATTGACCCAAATATCAAACACCCATAGCCAATCTAGCCCTAAAATACAAAAACCCATCAATTACCCACACTAGGGTTGAGCCACAATCCTAGCTTGTGGGTCTATCTACTCATAATTAAAGAAGAAAAGCAAGAAATAGATGAAGAACAACTCATATTAATTAATCACTAAGGTAAATAACAAGATTCAATAATGAAAAGTAGATAAAATTTTCCAAAATATCTAAGAAAGTCGAACCCACGAGTGCAACTACGTTACAAAACTATCTGATACCCTAAAAAATGGGGAAAAAGCTATTTATACTAAGCTGAAAATTCTGGACAAAAATGCCCCTGTGGGGTTAGTGCGGACTGCACAAAATGGTGTGCGGCTGCACTAGGGCTCTGAATCTGAAGATCTGATTCTCTAAACTCAGGCACTGTGGATCGCAGAGAATGAACTGCGGCCGCGGAGGCTTCTAGTGCGGTCCGCACAAAATAGAATGCGACCGCATTGACTTGAATCCTTGAAACTGGCACTTCTTTGATCATGGGTTCTGCGGACCGCACTAAGTCGAGTGCGGCTGCATTAACTTCAGTGCGGACCGTACAAAATGTAGTGCGGCCGCGTTGCCTTTGTTCCTGAATGTCAACCTCTTTGAATCCCCTAGTGCGGACCGAACAGAATGGTGTGCGGCCGCACTGGGCCTGTTTTGCCTGAGCTTTGTCTTGTCTTGGGACTTGTGCAAATTTCACTCCTTTTTGAGCTGATCTTTGACATTTTGTCACTTTGTTTATCAAACCTGCAATCAAGCACAACTTGTGAGCCTTTTGGGACTATTTTGTATGAATTTCTAATCAAAACATAAGCAAGAAGGAGTATAAAATGCGTTAAAATCCCTAGTTATCAACTCCCCCAAACTTAAGCTTTTGCTTGTCCTCAAGAAAACAAAATAAGACCTACTTCTTAAGAGAAAATCTAAGAAGTTTTCAGCTGACCTAAATAA